AGTTCAAGACCAACCTGGCCAACCAACATAGTGAAACCCTGTCTCTACTAAAAATACAAAAACTAGCCAGGTATCGTAGCATGCGCCTGTAGTCCTAGCTACTCCGGAGGCTGAGACAGGAGAATCGCTTGAATCTGGGAGGCGGAGGTTGCAGTGAGCCGAGATTGCACCACTGCACTCCAGCCTGGGCAACAGAGTGAGACTCTCTCTCAAAAAAATAAATAAATAAGTTTAGTCCAGGTTCTGCACAAGCAGGCACTCGATAAGTAGCTTCTGTTATCAAAAACATTACTCATGTCCTGGCCTAATTTCCTTCACTAGGTTGTAAGTCCCTGGATAGGAGAAACGGGAGGCAGGTACTGCCCTAATAGACCAGGCAAGAGGGGTTCCTGCCTGGTCTCTAGGCTTTAGAGCATCCCACTCATGCCCTTCTCCAGCCACATCCTTCCCCACAGTACAAGAAGAGACATGCTGACCTAGAGACCCCCCAGCACTCCTAGATTCCATTCTGTCTGGGTATCTGAAGACCCCAGAGTTTCCCGCCCAACGGATCCTGACCCCTTGTCCGAGCCTGCACAGGCCTTTTTCCCGGGTCCATGCAACCAAGGATGGCTGAGGGCTGGCTGCTGTTTGGGAGAAATGGGACAGGGTGTGGCCATGTCAGCTGGGGTTGTCCCCATGTGTGCCTGCAAGGCCGCTTGCAGTGAGAGAGCCAGGGGTTAGGAGAGGTTGACCGTAGGTCAACTCTATCCAAACTGTCTTGGTATAGTCAGAATTCCAAGGTGTCTGAAGATACATTCAAACCTGATTGCAGCTTTCCATTTCTAAAAAACTAATCTATAGTGACAGAAAGCAGATCAGTGGCTGTCTGGACAAGGCAGCGAGAGCTGGACTGCACATGGACACAAGGAAGCTTTTGGAGGTGATGGAAATGTTTCACGGATATACACAAAGGTCAAAACACACTTAATTGTACACTTTAAATAGTGCGGTTTATTGTATGCACATTAAATTGTTTCTTAAAAATTCAAACTTGGCCCACGGGCTGTTACTATCTTTGTCAAAGTGGGAGAACAACAAAATATAGTCTAACAGTTTAGTGGCGTGACTTAAAATTGTAATTACCAGCCAGTCCCCAGGTCTCAGAAGTGGTTGATCCAACCCCCTTCTCTGAACCATCTGCACTAGGCAGGAGCTCAGGCCGGGTGGTTTGTCCAGCTCCGGCCCGCCCTGCACCTCTCAAGCCCCGCACCTCTCAAGCCGTGCCCGGCCCCAACCTCTGCGTTCCAAGGGCTTCAGGCACACCAATCAACCGAGGAAGCAGCCCGGCCCAGGCCCCACCCACCACGTCAGTCCAGGTCCCGCTCCATCCTCCCTACCAAGGAGGCTGTCCACCCTTACACCCGGGCTGCATGGCGCCCCAAGCTCCACCCCCTTACCGAGTAATTGGCTCGCCCCTAAGCTCCACCCACCATGCCATCCCAGGCCCTGCCCCTTCCCCGCCCCCTTACCGAGGCGGTGGCCGGCCTGGCGGCCGACGCTGCCCAAACATTGGATCAGGGTGCGTATGGCAGCCGGGCTGGTGGGCGCCCGTGGGCCGGGAAGCCGGTCCAGTAGGTGGTCAGCGAGTTCCACGAAGAGGTCGGTGCTGCAGGCGGCCGCCAGGTGGCCAAGCGCTCCTACCGCCCGCTTGCGCACGGCCAGGCGCGGGCTGCTCAGCTGTGGCAGCAGACAGTGCAGGAGGCTAGCATGGAAGGCGCCCAGCGGGGCACCCAGCCTGGGGAACACGAGGGGGCATCAGGCCGGTCGCACCCCGCGGGCAGCCTGGGCCAGGCTCCGCCCCTCTCCCCATTCTCTCCCGACCTCATTCCCAGGATTATGGCAACTCAATGGTCCTTGCAAAAGAGGTGCCCTGCAACTGTGAGGAGGAATTATTTTAATTATTTTGTTACATGAAAGAAAGCGGAGAGAGAAAGGTACTTCTCAGCAGTGCAAAGCCTGGCTCCCAGCCCAGGGAGAAGGACCTGATGGGGGAAGCATGGGCGATCGAGTAAGGCTGTCCCTACTTCTTGTAAGTCTAGGCCTTGCCTCAATACCATCCCCCTCTGTCCAACCTCCTTGCTGAGACCAGAGCAGTATAAAATCTACTTCTCACCTGGTCACTCCTCTGCTTAACTCCTTCCATGGCTCCTTAGTGCCTTTGGAGATGCTGAGCTCTGGGTTCAAGAGGCAACACCAGAGAATGGCTTCCACGCACACAGCACAGCCCCTGCCTGCCTCAGCAGCTTCTATCCACACCTTCAAACGAGGCCCGTGCATTTTCTGTCCCATAAACATCCCGAGACCTTTTCTCACTTTATACAAACACACTGACCTCACTCTCCCTTATTTCTATGTCCTACCCAACCCTCTCTCCTGGGTTTCATTTGTCTATTCACCTGCTAAGTGACAGGGACTGTGCTGGAAGCCAGGGTGAACAAGATAGACTGATCCCGGGACCTGCCCTCATGGAGTGTGTGGTTGAGTGGGTGCCTCCCAGGAACCTCAAGTTCAACATGCCCCAGCTTGAATCCATCACCTTCCTCCCCACACACCTGCTCCTGGCTCCCAGAGTGCACCCCATCACAGCACCTCTGTCTGCCCCCGCCAGTTACTAAAGGCAGAACCCTAGGGGTCAGCCTCCGGTCCCCGCCTGTCTTGCCCACTCCAAGTCCTGTGGAGTCTACCTCCTGAATACAACCCGAATTGCTTTCCCTATAGTAGCCTTTTAACCAGTCCTCAGCCTGTTCAATCCCCTCCCATCTACTCTCCACTGCAGAGAGAAAGATCAGAGTGGAACACACAAATACTCACCCTCACTCCATGGCTCCTGGCCAGCCCTCCACCTCATCTCTCCATACCCACCTCTCCACATTACAGCCTGCCCCATGACCCCTGGCAGACTCTGGGACCCCAAGTCTTCCCCCATCTCTGCCTTCCGGACTGGGGGCAGTCTCCCCTCCAGCATCCTCCTTATACCTGCCCAAACTCAGCTAAGTCCTGCCCCTCCTCGAAGGCTCAACTCTAGCAGCACGCTCTTTTAGAAGGCTCCTCGTTCCCAGGTGGGCTGGGGGCTCCTCTGAGCTCCTATCAGCCCTGTTCTTATCCTTAACTGTTGTGCTTACTCCATTCACGGTTTTATACATGTCTGTGAACTCCTCCCTAGGAACAACCAAGACTGATCTAACCCCATGTTCCGAACATTAGGCCAGCGCCTGACATTTTTCTGGTTAGAGCAGGTATTCAAGTCGTGGGAGGTTTTACTGACCGTGTGACCACATCACCTCTCAGAGCCTGTAAAATTGTGACAATTGAGTTCTCCTTTACGAGGCTGCTGGGATGATTAAGGAGCCCCGAGCACAGGGCTTGGTGTGCAGTAGGTGCTAGCTCTGTGATTTGAGTCCCTTCCTGTCCCCTTTTACCCATTCTTCCTCAATACCCAGGGTGGCCTCCCACACCTGCTCAGCATGTCAGAGAGGATGTCCAGGGCTTCCAGCTGCACAGCCACATCCTCCTGCTGGGCAATGGCACTGGTGAGCTGGCCCGTGATCTTCCGGCACACGTTGGTGGCCAGCCCGGAGCCTGCACAGGGCACAAGGTGGGCACAGTGAGGCCCTGGCCTGGGGAAAAGGCAGCCTTTACCGCTGGTCTGCCTCTGCTCTGGCTGTGTTCCTGAGCCCACATCCCAGGGAATCTTGCCAGGGCTCCAGAGGTCCCAGGTTTGACCCAGAGTCTGGCCAAAGTAAAGGAGACAGCTAGGGGACCTGCAGAGCCAATGGCCGAGCTGCTGGGTGGCACTCACATACCCAAGCCCTTCTTCCTTTCCCCATTCCTCTAGGGAGGCAGGGAAAGTTAAACACTTCCTTTCCTGCCTCCCTTGCTGCTGGGAGTGGCTGGGTGATCCAGCTCTTGCCAGTGAGATATCAGTGGAAGTCGTATGGGGGCTTCTGGGAAAACGTGTGCTTTCCCTATAAAGGGAGGGGACATGGGGCAAGACCTGAACCCTGTCAATATTGAGCCACTAAATGAATTGCTACCGAAATGGAGTGGCTGATTCCTCCAGGATTGCCATGTGAGGAAAAACCACCCCTGATTTCTTTAAACTGTCGTTGGTTAGATTTCATCACTTGAGCTAAAAGCATTGCTAACTGACACAGAAGCATGAACTTAAACGGAGCTGGGCCTGAATTCTCTGCCCTGCTTACTAGCTGAGTGACCTCAGGTATGTCTCTTCAACTTTCTGTGCCTCGGTGTTTTTTTGTTTTTTACCATTAACTAGGACAAATACTAACAGTACCTAGTCCTGGGGACCTGGGTACCTGTGGCTGCAGGGGGGAGCTCCGAGAGGACGGTCTTGAGGCCAATGCCGGCGATGTCTCGCAGCTGCTCCTTGTCTGACCGCATGTTGGCGCACAGGGTGTCCACGATGGTCTCCACCTGGTACTCCTTCACTTTGCCCACCAGAGGACCCAGGCTGAGCAGGGAGTGGGAAGGTGAGTCCAAGGTCCCAAAGTTCAGCCTGAGTCAGGCTGCCCCTTTATGTCCCTTCATGCTCCTGGGACCACATGTGCTGAGGAAAAGGCCTCAGATCACCAGGGGAGCCCCTGTTTGGCCAGAAAGAGGTACTCTCTGGCTATGCCAAAATTGTTCCTGGCACCTCCCAAACCTACGTTTCTTCTTGTTTTACGTCTCAGGAAATGGCCAAATAGTGCCCCAGAACAAGGGTGCTCAAACTTTTTTTTTTTTTTTTTTTTTGAGACGGAGTTTCGCTCTTGTTGCCCAGGCTGGAGTGCAGTGGCGGGATCTCAGCTCACTGCAAGCTCCGCCCCCCGGGTTTACGCCATTCTCCTGCCTCAGCCTCCCGAGTAGCTGGGACTACAGGCGCCTGCCGCCTCGCCCGGCTAGTTTTTTGTATTTTTTAGTAGAGACGGGGTTTCACCGTGTTCGCTAGGATGGTCTCGATCTCCTGACCTCGTGATCCGCCCGTCTCGGCCTCCCAAAGTGCTGGGATTACAGGCTTGAGCCACCGCGCCCGGCCGGGTGCTCAAACTTGAGCGTGCATCTGAATCCCCTGGAGGCCTTGTTAAAACAGATTGCTGGGCCCCACCCCCAGAGTTTCAGAGTCAGGAGGGCTATCTCGGTGGGGCCTAACAGCGTGCATTTCTAGCAAGCTCCCAGTTGAGGCTGATAGTGTCGGTGGTCCAGGGAGCACACTTGGAGAACCTCTGCCTTAGAGGCTTGCTTCTCAAAGTTTGGTGGTGGGTTAGCATCGGCAACACCACTCGGAAGCTTGTTCAGGATGTGGAATCTCAGGCCCTACCCTACCCTAGATCTATTGAGCCAGGATCTGTAGCGCCACAAGGTCCCCAGGTGATTCTAATGCACAGGAAAGTGTAAAAACAGCTGCACTAGATGCCTGGGTTCTCAGCCTTAGTTGCCATCACCTGGGCCTCTGAAAAATGCCTACCTGGGCACTGCCCTCAGAGAGTCTGAGTTAATTGGTTTCACGTGTGACCTGGAGGCGGGAGGGCTTTTTAAATTCCCCAGGTGATTCTAACATGCAGTCGAGGCTGACAACCTCTGCCCTACCTGAGTAGTTCTCAGACATTGGTTGCATCAGAATGCAGATTCCAGGGTGCTATGGTCTCATCCTCTGCCCCAGCTCCCTCCCTGCTCCATCCCCTGAATATGAATCCCTGGGCAGGGAATATAGAGTTTCAACAAGGGCTTCAGGTGACTGCAGTGGACAATGGTTTTCTTTTTTCTTGATTTTTTTTTTTTTTTTGAGATGAGGTCTTGCTCTGTTGCCCAGGGTGGAATACAGTGGCATGATCATAGCCCATGGCAGCCTCGAACTCCTGAGCTCAAGCAATCCTCCTACATAGATGAGATTACATATTCAAGCCACCACGCTTGGCTAATTTCTTTTTTTAGTGTCTTGCTATGTTGCTCAGGCTGGTCTTGAACTGCTGGCCTCAAGTGATCCTCTTGCCTCAGCCTCCAGAATAGCTGGGACTACAGGCATGCGCACCATGGTTTTCAAACCTTGGCTCTCTCAGCTTCCTTCTCCACAGCTCCTCTATCTACATAATGATGAAATCCTCCATCCTACCTCCTATAGCACTGGTTCCCACTAGGAGTAATACCGCCTTGGCAATTTATGGGTGTCCTTGGTCATCATAACTATAGAGTTAGTACTTCTGGCCTTTAAGCGGGTGGGGAGCAGGAACCGCAGAAAGACAACAATGCAAAACAAAGCATTGTCCATGCCCCGCAAGAAATTCTAACATCCCAATGGGCATTTGTATAGGCAAAAGGCCTTTCTGTAATTATCTGAGTCTAACATTTCAGTTTATACAGAGACACAAAATATTTTTACATTGTTTTAATATACCGCATTCTAGATTTTCCAAGAATGCAATTTTCAGGTAAATAGAAGGAAAAGTGTACTTTGTTTTCTGGGAAACTTTATTGGGAGATGATCACTCACTTTAGAAAATCCTGGCTGGGCGTGGTGGCTCACGCCTGTAATCCCAGCACTTTGGGAGGCCAAGGCAGGCAGATCACTTGAGGTCAGGAGTTCAAGACCAGCCTAGCCAACATGGCGAAACCCCGCATCTACTAAAAATACAAAAATTAGCCAGGCGTGGTAGTGTGTGCCTGTAATGCCAGCTACTCAGGAGGCTGAGACATGGGAATTGCTTGAACCTGGGAGGAGAAGGTCACAATGAGCTGAGATTGCCCCACTGTACTCCAGCCTGAGTGACAAAGTGCGACTCTGTCTCAAAAAAAAAAAAAAAAGAAAAAAGAAAATGTTGCCACTAAGAGCAATGCCTCCAATTCTGAAACCTGAGTCCCAACACCCCCTGTCTATATCTGGTATCTGTACTCATGATGAGTACTCATGATGAGTTTACATGCAGGTACAGGCTTCTCGTGACTTCATCACTTCTACCATCACAGTGCCCCAGCACGCATACACGGAAACACACACTACTTTACTATAAGCTACATTCCTTCTAGTTTGCCTTTATGGTTAAGGTTAGGGCATTATGTGTAGACGTAGGTTTTATAATGTACGAATTTCATTTCCTAATAGGAAAACAGTATTACAAACGATTTGTTATAAAAAGGTATTGGTTCTGCTGGTGGGAAACCACACTCCATCCTAAGTCTACTCCATGACCAGAAAGACACTCCCAACTCATAAACTTGTCCATGTCACCTTCCTACAGAAAACCCTTTACTGAATTCCCTCTGCTCTTGGGATCATGTTGCAATTCTTTAACATCTTCTTCTGGGGAAACTCAAGACTAAGGTACCATTCAACAAGAGCTGCTCAGCAGGTCCCCTCTGCGAGGCTGTACCCCAAAGGGACAGGGGTCCCCAGAATGCTCCCACACCAGGTAGGGCCCCTGCTCCTGCTCCACCAGGGCAATTCTTTAACATGCCCCGGAAGAATGCCTGGACCCAGCTCACAGACAGTGGTTTGAAAGACAGTGCCCAATTCTCTCACCCTGTTGATCCTTGATCCCTGGCATTCTATTTAAAATTACTCAGGTGATGCTAACCTGCAGTCAAGGTTGACAACCTCTGCCCTACACGAGTGGTTCTCTGCTGTGGGTGTGAGAATGACTCTACCACCCAAGCATCCCCACGTGCTCTGCACATACCCTTGTCTTGTTTTTTTCTACTCTAGAGATAATTTGCCAACGTCTCAGGATCACAGCCTCACAGTGATCTAAGGCTGGGGCTTTTAGGACCTCTCCCAATCCCATGTGCCCTAAGCCTTTTTTGTTTTTTATTTTTGAGATGGAGTTTTTGCTCTTGTTGCCCAGGCTGGAGTACAATGACACAATCTCGGCTCACTGCAATCTCTACCTCCTGAGTTCAAGCGATTCTCCTTACTCAGCCTCCCAAGTAGCTGGGATTACAGGCATGCGCCACCACGCCCAGCAAATTTTTTTAAAAATTATTATTTAGTAGAGACAGGGTTTCACCAGGTTGGTCAGGCTGGTCTCGAACTCCTGACCTCAGGTGATCCACCCACCTTGGCCTCTCAAAGTGCTGGGATTACAGGCATGAGCCACTGTGCCCAGCCTTTAAGCCTTTACCACCTTGATGTGTATCAGCTTGACCTTCCCAGCATTTACATCTGTCTGAGGGCTTTCTCTGGCTGGAGGTGGCAGAAAGTGGACAACCCTCTGTCCTACCCCAGAAGCAGCCCTTAACCAATGACTACCAGGGAGCTGGTGGACTAATACCCCAGCTCCCTCACCCTTTAAGTGGGAAAAGTCCAAGAGGCATGTCCTATACTGTGTCCCAGAGGTCCCCATGGGGTTAAGCTCATCGGGCCCACTGTGGTCACTTGCTTTGTACTGTACCCTTAATTGGTCCTCTTCCCTCTCCTGCCTCACTTCCCTACTCCACCACCATGTTTCCTGGGATCACCTCCCAAATAAACTTAGATTTGAATCCTTGTCTCAGCATCTTCTGGGGAAACTCAAGACTAAGGTACCATTCAACAAGAGCTGCTCAGCAGGTCCCCTCTGCAAGGTTGTACCCCAAAGGGACAGGGGTCCCCAGAATGCTCCCACACCAGGTAGGGCCCCTTCTCCTGCTCCACCAAGGCTGACACTCACCACTTAACAGCCAGGTTCTGCACCTCACCGTTCTTGTCCTCCAGGAGCCGGAGCAGCATCTTCACCACCTTGCGCTCGCTGTCCTCGTCCAGCTGAATGGAGTCCTTCTGCAACTCCGACATCAGGTCGCTGGTGGCCATGAACCTGTGCAGGGAGGGCAGAGGAGGATTGCTGAGCAGCTCCTGGGCCCTGGTGGATTTGGGCAGTACCTCAGGGTTCCCCTAGAAGTAGACCTTAATACAAAGATTCGAGGTCAAATGCACTCCTGTGTCACATGATGATGTTTTGGTAAATGAGAGGCAACATATACAATGGTTGTCCCGTAAGATTATAGTGAGGCTGCCCTATATAGGCATGCCATTTTCATCTTTTCTACCTTATTTTTACTGTACCTTTTCTATGTTTAGACACACAGATACCACTCTGTTACAGCTGCCTACAGTACTCAATACAGGTGCGTAGCCTGGGAGCAACAGGCCGCACCATATAGCCTGGGGGTGTAGTAGGCTCTACCATCTAGGCTGTGTAAGCACACTCTATGAGGTTCACACAAGGACAAAATTGCCTAATGATGCACTTCTCAGAATGTCTCCCTGTCGTTAAGTGCCACATGACAGTGGATTATTTGGGCAGTGGGTATGGTTGGGCTACAAGGAGACCCACATGTGTGACACCAACTGCCACATGGTGGCAGACTAGGAATGGCCCAGCACACTGGCTAAATGCATAATGCTTCAGGGTCGGTGGCTCCCGACCATTTATGCAGTGTGAATTTGGGCAAGCCATTTCACCTCTCCAAGCCTTAGCTTACCTGTCTGAAAACGGAGATGAGACTAGTATCTGCCTCATGGGGTTTTAAGTGCACATGGTGAGCGCTCAGTAAATGGCACTGCCATTATTATGATGACATCATCCACATCCCACAACAGCTGACAAAGGGATGCCAGAAGGTTGTTTTGTTTTGTTTTTTGAGATGGAGTCTTGTTCTGTCGCCCAGGCTAGAGTGCAGTGGCGCAATCTTGGCTCACTGCAAGCTCCGCCTCCCGGGTTTATGCCATTCTCCTGCCTCAGCCTCCTGAGTAGCTGGGACTACTGGTACCCGCCACCACACCCGGCTAATTTTTTGTATTTTTAGTAGAGATGGGGTTTCACCGTGTTAGCCAGGATGATCTTGATCTCCTGACATCGTGATCCACCCGCCTTGGCCTCCCAAAGTGCAGCGATTACAGGCGTGAGCCACTGTGCCCAGCCAAGGGATGCCAGAAGGTTGAACAGACACCTTGTGTCCAAGTCAGAGCTAGAGGCCTACCAAACAGATGGAGGAAGGCGAGCCCTGTCCACTCCCATCTCAGAGAACTGGCTCGGTCCCTGCCCTTAGAGCAGTGGATCTCCAGCTATAGCCAGCATCAGAATCACCAGCAGGGCTTGTTAAACAATACTAGGCCCCATTCCCAGAGTTTCTGAATCAGCAGGTCTGAGTTGGGGCCCAGGAATCCGCATTTCTAACAAATTCCTGGATGACGCTGAGGGTCAGGGACCACCGTTTGAAAACCACTGCCCTACACCATGCTGATGGGCATGGGCATATTTTGGAGACCAGCACCAATAGCTGACTGGCTCACTGACCTAGGGTGGGCATCAGAGGCAAGGGCTACCCACCCAGAAAAATCAGGCTTTTGGTGTCAGGCCCCACAAATCCTGATGCCGTCCCAGGCATTTGAAACTGCAGTGGGAGTCTAAGCTGGAAGCCATGGAAAGTTGAGGCTGGGGCCATTATTAGGCACCATTCCTGCCAAAATTAAGAGGGTAGGAGCAGAGGTCTGAAACTAGTAGCCCTCAGCTATGTCCAGCTTGCAAATGTGTTTTCAAAAATTTAAATTACTTGTCAACATTTGAACATTGGGAGAGTTGACATAAAAATACTGACTTTGGCCTGGCATAGTGGCTCACGCCTGTAATCCCAGCACTTTAGGAGGCTGAGGCCGGTGGATCACCTGAGATCAAAAGTTCTAGACCAGCCTGGCCAATATCGTGAAACCCTGTCTCTATTAAAAATACAAAAATTAGCCGAGCACAGCAGTGAGCACCTGTAATCCTAGCTACTGGGAAGGCTGAGGCAGGTGAATCACTTGAACCTGGGAGGTGAAGGTTGCAGTGAGCTGAGATCGCACCACTGCACTCCAGCCTGGGTGACAGTGCGAGACTCTGTCTCAAAATAAAATAAAATAAAATGCTGACTTCCAGGCTAGGTGCAGCAGCTCATGCCTGTAATCCCAGCACTTTGGGAGGCCAAGGTCAGCGGATCACTCAAGGTCAGGAATTTGAGACTAGCCTGGCCAACATGGGGAAACCCCATCTCTACTAAAAATACGAAAATTAGCCAGGTGTGGTGGTGCACGCCTGTAGTCCCAGCTACTTGGGAGGCTGAGGCAGGAGAATCACTCAAACCTGGGAGGCAGAGATTGCAGTGAGCCAAGATCGTGCCATAGCACTCCAGCCTGGGTGATAGAGTGAGATTCAAAAAAAAAAAAAAAAAAACCTGACTTCCAGATTATCTTGAAAACATAGTATTTCTGTACAATGGGGCCTACAATCCCTGGTGACAATACCTGACTAGAGTATTGTCAGGTTGTGGTTGCCCTCTCCCTAGTTTACCTGGTCCCCACTAGGCCCACTTCACCCACTGACTGGCTCCTGCAGGCACGTGAGCAGAGTCTCAGAAGAAAACAGGACAGAGCAGCGAGGAGATACCACGAGGCTGCCTCGGAGAGAGCCTCCAGCTTTTGCTGGCCCTGCTGGGCCACTCCGCTGCCCCACACTGGCCCTGCTTTCCAGCATGGTTGAGCAAATCAACCAAGAGCCCTGACCCCAGCCTCCTGTGGCAAAAACTATCACAGCTGGGTTTCTGGCTCTCATCTGTGCAGACTCAGACCTGCTCCTGGATGTCACCGCAGCCCACAGTGCCCTGTTACCAGGGGTGGACTGGTCGATGTCCTATTTATTTTTAACAGGTAGATTAGCCACCAGTTGCTAGGAGAGAGGAGGCGGCTGGGCTGGCAGCACGGGCAGGATGGTAGGACTGACTGTGCCCACCTCTGGGCAAAGGTAAAGTGAAGGAGGAGGTTTGGATTTGAGCCAGGCCAAGGCCTGAGGTGGGCACATGCATGCCTACGTCTGCTCAGCTGAGGGGACATTCTGAGATAGCATGCAGGGTCTCCAAGTTGTGTTTCTGCTGCAGTCCATGGGGGCCCAGCTCAGCCTGGCAACCCAGGTGATGTGCCTCTTTGCCCAAGATAGGCCTCCTGCCCCCGCTCCTCTTCTCCACCTGTTGAGCTCCTATTCACCCATCAAGACCCCAGCTCAAATGTCCCAGCTCAGGGATGACTGACCACCCTGCCCTACCCCTGCATTCACAGCCCCTAAACACAATGTTCTGACAGGATCCTTTCAGAGCACTTTGCACCCCTCCTTTATAGCACTTCTCACACTGCAATACAAGTCTGGCCACCAGAGCATCTTCTCCATTGGACTGTATACTCACTGAGGGCAGAGGCCCATCAGGTTTATCTCTGGGACTCCAGGCTCAACAAAGAATAGGTCTGCAGGGGGCTTTGTCGGGGAGGGTGAGGGCAGGAGGAGAGGTAGTGAGAGAGCTAGCCCTTAACAGAATTTACAGCCAAATAGCCTGAACTCAGAAACCAACTCTTCTGAAGTATGCCTCAGCATTTCAGACACCCCTGGTTCCTGCAGACACTGGCTCTCAGAGAAAGCAAGCCATATTTTACACGTGTTATGTGTGCAGGGATGGGAGAGGGAAGGAAAAGTATATAATTTGGTGGATAAGAGCTTGAGCACCAAAGTTTGGCTTTAAGTGAGTATACTGGTCTTGCCATTTATCAACTAGGTGACATTGGGCAACTACCTCCTTTTCTCTGGGCCTCATATTTTCTATATATAAAATGGGAACTTTTCTTTGCCCTACCTCATAGTATCCTTGGGAGGTTTCAATAGGACAACCAGCTCTTAGCATGAGGTAGTAAGAAAACTAGGCTCAGGGAGGCTGCACAAACTGCCTAAGGTAACAGCAAACTGGGCGGAAAACCAGCCCACCACACACGTCTCCTGGCTTCTCAATCACTACTACTGTGTTTTCAAGAACAAGACCTGCAAGTGTACTCGTTTTGACTGTTGGAGCCTCTGTGGTAAAGGGGCACCTCCTGCCCATAAAGCCAGGGCCCAGGAAGAACAGGAATCAAAGGTCTCCTCCACCCAACCTGGGACCCTCATTTGCAGTCACTGCCCCCCTCCAGGAACCAGAGGACACAGTCTCAGTTTCATTACAGAGAAACCCTAGAGGCAACTCAGCTGAAACCCTTGGCCACACGGGCGCATGGACAGCTGGTCTGCAGGACCCAGCACCCTGGTATTCGGACTTTAAAAATAGACACCATTCTCACATGCTTGGGGTGGTTTTAAGTGTTCTCCAGGCCACTGGCAGAGACAGGCTGAAAGGACTTCTCGGGCTCTAGCTGGCAGGGCCAACTCCCTCTCCCAGAGACTGGACCTGAGGCCTGAGAGACAGTAGCACAAATCCCCTAGGCCACTAGCCAGCTATGTGACCTTGGGCAAGTCACTGCACTCCTCCAAGCCTCCGGAAAACAGGAAGAACAATCACTACCACCCATGGGTGGACTGAGATTACATGTGGAGTGCACAGTAGGGAGCCTGGGACCCAGCGAACATTCACTAAGCACCTACTGTGTACCCAGCACAGGTGCTGGGGCACTAAGAGAAAGTGCATAGTCCCGGTGGCCCAGGAGCTCAGGGTCTCCCAGGGCTGAAGTGATCTAGCAGAAACATGAGGGGAGGCATGGTGGGAGCTCAGGAGAGGTGCCTAATCCTGCCTGGGGTCAAGAGGCATCCCAAAGAATTATAGGAGCTGTCAGATGAAGGGAGGAGGTCAAGGGAGAGCAAAGAATCCCCCTAGTGAAGGTTTAGAGAGGGGACAGGGCATGGCAGATTTTGAATGTGCACAGAATCATAGCAGTGTCCATTTATTAAGCACCGACCCAGTGCCTGCCACGAACCTGAGCATTTCACATGTACTATCTTTTTTGTCGTTACCCCAATCCTCAGAGATGGGTTCTGTTACCCCCATTTTATAGAAACAGAAGCACAGGAAACTCATGGGGGTTAAGTTACTTGTCCTTGGTCACACAGCCAGTGAGTGATGGCAGCTGGGATCTGAAGCCAAGACCTTGGATCCCAGGCTCTATTCATGTGGGGGACTCTTGAGGGGTACTGAGGAATGGGCTGCAGGAGAAGAGTAGGAGTCAGACTACCAGAGCAGGTCTCAGTCTCCTAACCTGTCAGGGGGCTGGAATCAGAGGGCCTCACTAAGATCTTGGCCTCTGTATTAGACTGGCCTGGATTTGGACTAAGTCTCCCACTTCCTGGCTTTGTGACTGAACCTACACCCTTCATGCCTGAGACTCAGTTTCCCTATCTGTAAAATGGGGACAAAGTGAAAAAGTGTTCACTGAGTCTCCAAGGTCTTCTTTCAGCTGGAGGGGCCAGAACTGGCCATGAGACCACGGGCCAATCCCTTTTCCTCCCTGGGCCTGTTTCCCCGGAGAATGCAGGTGGAAACTCATTGGACCAGATGTTTCCACCGTTCTTTTCAGCTCTATTCCTGTAGTTCTGTGATGCTGTGAGAGGGGGAAAAAAGGAAAAAGGGAGTGGGGAAGCGGAGTGGCACACAAAACCTAGAAGGTCCCACCCCAACCATCACCTACCTGTGACTGGAAAGCCAGACTCAGCCCAGCCCCCTCCTTTAGGCTGGGTCTGAACAATCCCCAGGAGGGGAGGGAGAGTGGGAGGGAGGGGTCCGGGTGATGTTGAGAAGCGGACATCACTGAGGGTGCCAGTGAGAAAGTCAGCTGGGGATAGCGGTCCCAGGAAGGGTCCGGTTTCAATGCGGAGGAGAGGGAGGTGATGGGGTCCCCAGGGAGAGGCGGAGGGCTTCACTGTGGACTTGCTGAAGGTGGCGGGGGATGGGGGTGCTGGGGCATCAGTTGCGGGGGAAGAAGGGGGCCATACAGAGGGAGGAGAGGCCTAGGCAGGGTGCAGAGGGGCGGAGCTGGGGCTCTGATGGGGGATGAGAGGCCGGGCTGAAGCCTGCACGGTGGGAGACGAAGCAGGGACTGGAGTCGCGGAGGGGCAGGACCGCCACTAGGGGAGAACGGCCAGAGCTTCAGTGGGGACCACGAGGCAGGAGTGGGTCTGTGGGGAGGGGGCGCAGCTTAATGCAGGGAGAAGACAGAAGAGGCAGGGGGCTGCATGGTCATGGGGGATGGGCTGGCACTTCGGGAGGGGAAGAAGGCCCCCGGCTTTACAGCGGGAAGGAGAGGCGGGGGGCCGGAGGCGGGGTGCACCTGAAGTCCTTGTCGCTGGACGTCATCTTCTCCAGGAGGCTGGAGATGTGGAAGGCGGCGGTGCTCATGGTGGCTGCGCGCCGCGGGGCTGGCCGGCGGGAGGGAATATGGCGGCGCGGGCGCCCCCTCCCTCGCCAGCTGCGCGGGCTGCGCTCACCAGACAGAAATAGCAGCTCCCGCCCCGCCCCGTGCTCACGCCTTGGCCATGGCGGCTGCGGGAGGCTGGCGGGCCTGGGCCTGACTCGGTGGTCTTGGCCCTGGCCCCAGCCCCTGCCCAGCTAACAGTGCAGCGCCGGCTTGCACACCCCCAGAGACGGGGAGCTCACTACCCGGCCACCACCTTGTTGTTATTCCCCTAAGTGCCAGCTCTGTCTTGCGGCATGGATATGATATCAGAGAGTCTCAGGTTCGAATCCCAGTTCTGCCTCTTCTGCTGTGTAGCCTTGGCCAAGTTACTTTACCTCTCTGAGCCTCAGCTGCCTTGTATACTAAACAGACATCATAATGCCTGTCTCTTATACACATCTAGATGTGTATAAGAGACAGGTGCAGCGCCGGCTTGCACACCCCCAGAGACGGGGAGCTCACTACCCGGCCACCACCTTGTTGTTATTCCCCTAAGTGCCAGCTCTGTCTTGCGGCATGGATATGATATCAGAGAGTCTCAGGTTCGAATCCCAGTTCTGCCTCTTCTGCTGTGTAGCCTTGGCCAAGTTACTTTACCTCTCTGAGCCTCAGCTTTCTCATCTGTGGGTATTCAAGAAACAGGAGCTATCAACCAAAGTTGGTCAGGCCAACCAAAGAACCCCTCACCCAATCCCCTCACCCACGATGCTTGCCCGCCCCTGAGCCAGACAGCATCTGGGGAGTGAACTCAGTCACACAAGGCTCCCTGCCTGCCATCCCCAACCCTCAGGATGGCAGGGTCAGTTTCTTCATTTTTTTTTTAGCAATGCAACTGAGGCCAAAAGCAAAGGGATTTGCTGAGGGTCACACAGCTAATGAATCTGGGATGGAGTCAGGATTGACTGCAGATCCCTTAATATCCTGGGCAACAATCCTTACAAAAAGATTCTGTGCTTCAGAACCAGACAAGCCTGGCTTCAAATCTCTGCTAGGCTGCTTCCTGACTGTGTGATCTTGGGATAATGAAACAGCCTCTCTGGGCTATAAGGATAAAATAAGGATAAAATAAATCTTTATTAAATTGACACCCCCTTGAACACCTGTTATTATGAGGTGCCTAGGTTCTATACAGTAGGGATGCAATGCGGCAGGGTGTTAGACACAAATGGCCCCTGACCTCTGGGGACTTTACACTTTAGTGGAGGAAATAAGCATGAAGGAAGAAAGTGATTAGATAAGGAAAATAAGAGCTCTTCAGAAAATAAAATAGACAGTTCCTGGAGCGTGGAGGGGCAACTTTAGCAAAGGTCAAGGAGGGCACTTTTTGAGGAGGAGACATTTGGGCTAAAACCTCAACAGATGAAGCAGCTGGGCAAAGGTTTGAGGGAAGAGCTTCCCAGACAGAGGAAACAGCAGGTGCAAAGGTCCCAAGGTGGTGGCTGGGCGCGGTGGCTCAGGCCTGTAATCCCAGCACTTTGGGAGGCCAAGGTGGGTGGATCATGAGGTGAGGAGATCAAGACCATCCTGGCTAACAAGGTGAAACCTCGTCTCTACTAAAACTACAAAAATTAACCGGGCGTGGTGCCGGGCACCTGTAGTCCCAGCTACTCTGGAGGCTGAGGCAGGAGAATGGCCTGAACCCGGGAGGCGGAGCTTGCAGTGAGCCAAGATTGCGCCACTGCACTCTGACCTGGCCGACAGAATCCATCTCAGAAAAAAAAAAGGAAGAAAGAAAAAGATAAGGCTGTGGCTGACTGGGCGCATTGGCTCATGCCTGTAATCCCAGCATTTTAGGAGGTTGAGGTGGGTGGATCGCTTGAGCTCAGGAGTTCAAGACCAGCCTGGGCAACATGGTGAAACCCTGTTTCTACAAAAAATGCAAAAACCAGCCAGGCGTGGTGGCACATGCCTGTAGTCCCAGCTACTTGGGGGGCTGAGGTAGAAGAATCACTTGAGCCTGGGAGGCAGAGGTTGCAGTAAGCTGTGATCGCACCACTGTACTCCAACCTGGGTGACAAAGTAGACTCTGTTTCAAAAAAAAGGAAGGGAGGGTCCGGGCGCGGTGGCTCACGCCTGTAATCCCAGCACTTTGGGAGGCCAAGGCGGGCAGATCATGAGGTCAGGAGATGGAGACCACCCTGGCCAACATGGTGAAAATCCGTCTCTACTAAAAATACAAAAAAAAAAAAAAAAAAAAAAAAATTAGCCAGGCATGGTGGCGGGCGCCTGTAGTCCCAGCTACTCGGGAAGCTGAGGCAGGAGAATGGCGTGAACCCAGGCGGAACTTGAAGTGAGCTGAGATCACACCACTGCACTCCAGCCTGGGCGACAGAGCGAGACTCCGCCTCAAAAAAATAAATAAATAAAAGGGAGAGAGGGAGGGAGGGAGGAAGGAAGGGCAGGATATGGCTGGAATGGAATGAGATCAGTCTTCAACTGAGGAAATGAGGACAGAGAGGCAGACAGGGGCCAGAGTACTTGAAACCTTTCAGGCCAAGGCAAGGAGTTCATATTTTATGTGGGAGCACTAAAGAGGCACTGGAGGGCATAAAGCAAGAAGGTAACTTGATCAGTTTTTGTTGTTGTTGTTGTTGTTGTTGTTTTTGAGACAGAGTATCGCTCTGTCGCCCAGGCTGGAGTGCAGTCAGTGGTGTGATCTCGGCTCACTGCAACCTCTGCCTTCTGGGTTCAAGCAATTCTCCTGCCTCAGCCTCCCGAGTAGCTGGGACTACAGGCACGCACCACCACGTCCGGCAGAGTTTTGTATTTTTAGTAGAGACGGGGTTTCACCATGTTGGCCAGGATAGTCTTGAACTTCTGACCTCAGGTGATCCACCCGCCTCGGCCTACCAAAGTGCTGGGATTACAGGCGTGAGCCACTGCGCCCAACCAGATCAGTTTATTTTATTTATTTAATTAATTTAGTTATTTACTGAGATGGAGTCTCGCTCTATTGCCCAGGCTGGAGTACAGTGGCACAATCTCGGCTCACTGCAACCCCCGCCTCCTGGGCTCAGGCGATTCCCCTGCCTCAGCCTCCTGAGTATCTGGGATTACAGGCACGTGCCACCACGCCCAGCTAATTTTTGTATTTTTAATAGAGACAGGGTTTCACCATGTTGGCCAGGAGGCTGGTCTTGAACTCCTGACCTCAGGCCTCCCAAAGCATTGAGATTACAGGCATGAGCCACTGCACCCGGCCTGGTTTTTTAGAAAGATCTCTTTGGTGCTGAACAGTCCACACAATCAAGAATCAGGGTGGTTTGGGCCAGGCATGGTGGCTCATGCCTGTAATCCCAGCACTTTGGGAGGCCAAGGCGGGAAGATCACCTGAGGTCAGGAGTTCAAGACCAACCTGGCCAGGCGTGATGGTGTGTGCCTGTAGTCCCAGCTGCTCAGAAGGCTGAGGCAGGAGAATGCCGTGAACCCGGGAGGCAGAGCTTGCAGTGAGCCAAGATCCCTCACCACTGCACTCCAGCCTGGGGGACAGAGCGAGACTCCATCTCAAAGAAAAACAAAAAAAAAAGAACGAGGGTGGTTTGCATTGGGGGAACGGTGGTGAAGATGGGAAGATTCGGGTTATGTCATGGAAATAAAATACAGCAGTTTCATTTGAGGACTGATTTCACTTTTTTTTTTTTTTTTTGACACAGGATATCACTCTGTTGCCTAGGCTAGAGTGCAGTGGCATGATCACTGCTCACTGCAGCCTCCACCTCCCGGGCTCAAGCCATCCTCCTGCCTCAGCTACCTGAATAGCTGGGACTACAGGCACACACCACCACACCTGGCTAATTGAATCCACACTGTTGAATGGGGTGATGATTACAGGTATATATTTGTAAAAATTAATCAAGCTGTACTTTGCTATATGTAACTGTTGCCTCAATAAAAAGGAGGGAAATAGGCCGGGCTTGGTAGCTCTAGCCTGTAATACCAGCACTTTGGGAGGCTGAGGTGGGTGGATCACTTGAGGTCAGGAGTTTGAGACCAGCCTGGATAACATGGTGAAACCCCATCGCTACTAAAAATACAAAATTAGCCAGGTGTGGTGGCATGTACCTGTAATCCCAGTTACTCAGGAGGCCGAGGCAGGAGAATTGCTGGGAGGTGGAGATTGCAGTGAGCCAAGATGATGCCACTGCACTTCAGCCTGGGCAAAAGAACCAGACAAAAAACTGAGCAAAAAAAAAGAAAAAAGAAAAGAAAATTAAATAAGTACATAGTTTAATAGGTCTTTTCCTATTTCATAATATTTTTGTAATAATTTTATGAGTCAGTGCATATGTTTTTACAAGTCATATATTTTTATGGGTAAGGAAAAGGGAGGAATTACGAGTTTTTAGTTGGAGCAGCTGAGTAGATGGTGGTGCTTTTTATGGGGATGAGGAAGTCAAGACAAGAACCCTTTTGATGGGAAGGAGGACTTGAAAACTGCAATCTGTTAACTTGAAATTACCTACTAGACATCCAAGGAAAATGCCATGTTGACAATTGAATGCATTAGTTGCATCAGGGGAGAATTCCTGGTTGGAGATATAGATGGGGGAAGGTCTCCACACAGAGGAAGTATTTAAAGCAATAAAAGTGTACAGGCTGGGCGCGGTGGCTCACGCCTGTAATCCCAGCACTTTGGGAGGCTGAGGAGGGTGGATCACGAGGTCAGGAGATCGAGACTATCCTGGCTAACACAGTGAAACCCCATCTCTACTAAAAATACAAAAAAAAAAAAAAAAAAAAATTAGCCAGGCATGGTTGCAGGTGCCTGTAGTCCCAGCTACCCGGGAGGCTGAGGCAGAATGGCCTGAACCCAGGAGGCGGAGCTTGCAGTGAGCCGAGATCCTACCACTGCACTCCAGACTGGGTGACAGAGTGAGACTCCGTTTCAAAAAAATAAATAAATAAAAGTGTACAAGGTTATCAAGGATGCAGGACAAACAGAACTCTTTCATTTTTTGTTTTGTTTTGTTTTGAGACAGGGTCTCACTCCACCCAGGCTGGAGTGCAG